AAATCCTAACCCTAACTATATAATAAGTACATGTAGTTAATTAATATTACTCAGTACTTATATGAATAATTACACTGTAACAAGGACACCTTAAAATAAAGTGTAACCCAAAAAAACTGTGAATCAGTAAAATACACTACATTTTTAAAAGTAATGTCCTGCTTTGTATTAGGTGTCTTTAAATACTACTTAATAATAATATAATAAATTATTAGGTAAAATGTACCTACTGTGTTCATGTTGAATTGCAAATCACTTGCTGCTATTGAGAGGGGATACGGGTAAGGTTAGAAGCAGGTTTGGTGGTATGGTTAGGTTTAAGAGGTAAGGTCAACAGTGTAATTACAGATGTAAATAAAGAAATTAATTACAGGATTTAATTTTCAATTATAAGTACAATGTAAAAACGTGTATGTACACAATAAGTGCATTGTATGAAATTATAAATTTTAATGTAACTATTATGTAGTTTAGGACATTTAATATAAAGTGAGTCCAAAAGTAGAATATAAAAAAATAATTATAAATATAAAATGTATAGTAAAATTATGTAATTTGTTTTCTTGATTTTTTAAATTTACTTGTGTATTTATATAAACAAACATGCTTATGCATGCATATATAGTGTGTACAGTTGTGCTCGTAAGTTTACACACCCCTTGCAGAATATGCAAAATGTTAATCATTTTCACAAAATAAGAGGGATCATGAAAATCGCATGTTATTTTTTATTTAGTACTGTCTTGAATAAGCTATTTCACATAACAGATGTTTATATATACTCCACAAGACAAAAAAATAACTGAATTTGTAAAAATGACTCCGTTCAAAAGTTTACATACCCTTAAATCGTAATGCAGTGTGTCATTTCCTGAATGATCCACAACTGTTTTTATGTTTTGTGATAGCTGTTCATGAGTCCCTTGTTGGTCCTGAACAGTTCAACTGCCTGTTGTTCTTCTGAAAAATCATCCAGCTCCTGCACATTCTTTGGTTTTCCAGCATCTTCTGCATATCTGAACACTTTCCAGCAGTGACTGTATGATTTTGAGATCCATCTTTTCACTCTGAGGACAATTGAGGAACTCATACATAACAATTACAAAAGGTGAAAACATTTACTGATGCGCAAGAAGGAAACACGATGCATTAAGAACCAGGGGTGTAAACTTTTGAACAGGATGATGATGTGTATATTTTTCTTATTTTGATAAAAGATCATATTTTTTTAATTTAGGACTGCACTTCAGAAGCTACATAAATACATACATGTTTCCCAGAAGACAAAATAAGGACAATTTACCCTGATCATCCAATTCAAACATTTTACACCCTCCAGCTCTTAAAGGGTAAGTTCACCCAAAAATGAAAATTAGCCCATAAATTACTTACCCTCAAGTCATCCTAGGTGTATATGACTTTCTTCTTTCAGACGAATCCAGTCGGAGTTATATTAAAACTTGTCTTTGATCTTTCAAGCTGTTTCATGGCACTCAGTGGGTGTTGCATGCTTCAGTCCAAAACAAGTTAAATAAAAAGCGCCCATCCATAAAAAAAA